ATACTGAACTGAGACTTCAGGTTTATCAATGAGTTTTTAGGCATCAGCACATTTATCACAAGAAACAAATATTAGGCTTAATTGCTTTTTATTCGTTTGACCTTCATTGATTAACTTACTTTTGTTCATGTGAAAAAGGAGCCAACATTAAAAGGCTTTTTTTTTTTTTTTCAAAAAAAACAAAAAACAAAGACAATATATGTGCATATAAACGGTGTCACATAAAAGCTAAAAGCCCATCTCTGCTTTTCTGTGTTGTGTTTTGATCTCGGGTACAAAAGTCTGAAGCAAACATTAAATTGCACCCTCGTGCAAATTAGGATTCTTTTGAAGCTGCATTGTAATAACTAGTTAGCTACATTTATTTAATATTTAATCTGCTAATTTATGTCAATACTTCAACTGATCGTCATTTTGGGGACACTCATTTTTGTAAAGCTGTTTAATGCTTTTTATTGTTAAAGATCGTGACTATTGAAAGGGCATTTTAACAATGGGGACTGAGTCACTTTTGGAACAAGCTTGACAAAAAAGTGCAAAGTGCAAAAGTCATGAACCGCCCCTCATTTCTTTGCTTGGAAAATGTGAAATAGGTGTAGAAAGATGCGTGGAAATACAGAATGAGAGAAAAAAGTTTGTACAGTTCTAACCTTTCAAAGTCAATACCTTACACTGTGTTGAAGAATACAGCCCGAAACCTTTATTGTTCATATCTTGAAGTAGTCTTCAGGAACAGTTCTCTAGGCTTCTCAAAGGACATTCAAAGCTTCTCTTTGGTTACATGCTGGCTGCCTTTTGTTCCATTCTGCTTCAAAATGATCCCACACTGCTTCAGTAATGTTGAGGTCTGGACTCTGGGGGAGACAATCCATGACTTTCCACTCTGTTTTTTTTTTACCCAGGCGTGATTTCACTGTGTTGGTATTAAGCTGAGAAATGAAACCTTTGGAAATTCACTGTGAAAGACAATTTTGAACCAAAAATTCCAAATCAGGATTCCTCACGGCTGTTTTTTCAGTCCACTTGTTGTGTTTGGCATACCTTTCATAGGAATGGCTTCATGACAGCAACATAATTTAACAGTAACTGAAGGGTCAGCTGTATCTCTATTTTTTTCTATTTCTTAAAAACATGACTTTTAGATACTATTCATCTACAGCAGGTAGTTTCTTTTTTTCAGGTTTGCAGATTCTTCTTTTGCCCTGATTTTATTACATTTCCCCCCTTTTTTTGTAACACATGGCGAAATATGCATTTCTCTGAAAATATTGAGGTAACTTAACACACAGTGTTGATTATGGAAGTAGTATTTTAGGGGTACGGTAAGAAGATTTATTAAAAAGCAGTTGGGCCTAGAGTTTGTTTGGGTTGGGTTATATCCAGTCAGATAATGAAAGCGGCACAATTTTAATATCAAAGAGCTCCCTCTGTCCATCATTGCCACACACGCAGTATATATATATTTTTGGTAGGCACATGGAAATGCATTCAGGGCAACACAAACACATTATTTCCCTGCTAAATCAGCCCAAATACCAAATGCGCTCAGCCCTCACCTGAGGTAGCTGCAGCTTTCTCTGGATCTGGGTTTAGTATTCAGTGAATCCACTTTAAATATGAAGTGCAGCTCACAGTTGGCATTAGTTAGCCAGCATCAAAGAAATAACCTCCAAACATCTGCCCTCTGATGAAGCAGAGCCGACCACAAAGAGAACGACAAAACACCAGCAGGTGTTTGAAAAATCAAAAGTTGCCCCTGAAGTATTTCACTACAGAACGAGCACAAAAACACAGAGCTTCTGTGGCCTGGCGATGGCTTTAAACTCCTAAACATCAGTGTTAAATTAACATGCAGGCCAATAAAATCTACGAAAACAAAAAAAAAGACTGAAAATAAAGTGTCTTTCACTGGGAGGTTTGTCTGAACATTGGGAGGTGTCCAAGATACAGCATTATATAGCGCCAGCTCAAATGCACTACAAAGAATTCGTGTGACTCATTGTCAGGTCCTACACCCAAAGTATTTCTGGTTGAGCTTTTTTCCCCCTTTTGTGTGATATCACTTTGTCTGAAACAGTAAGGTTTGAGTTTTCCTGCTGTATGCTGTAACATTTTGTTATGTATGTTAAGGATGAAACATTTAAACTGAATGTATTTTAATTATTAATTTTAAGTTGCAGTCAAACTATTGGCAGCTGGCCTAGACAGCAAATTACAATGAGCTCTACATCCATATACTTGTAAGTTGCCAAAAAAATGAACTGATCTGTTATTATAATTAAGAAGTGTTTTACACATCTGTCAACTAGACAAGTGATTCACTGGTTTGACAATCATCACAATAGTTTCCAAGGGTAGCTGCATAGGCAGACACCACTGTGATTAATATAAGCAGGCCTGAAATACGAGAGAAACTGCTCGTGTCAGAAAATAAATTCAAGCGTTGCTCCTAGCAAGAATTAAGGAAACATTTATTTATTATTATCAGAAGAAATCACAGTTCAAAAACCTTTAAAGCTTTTTGTCCCAGCTGTCATTTGTTCACCAAGCCCTGCGATGTCCATGTAGCTCGTTGGACACAAACTAAAAGACCAACTTTTTCAGACTTTGATGACAACCAGCCTCCATGAGGGATTTCGGTCTATTTGATACCCTAAATCAAGGTAAAGATACAAAACTCAGTGCATGTTTGTCAAACTGAGAGGAGGAATGGGCTGGATGGAACTGTCAGGGGACCAGTTAAGCCCCATTTGCAAGCCAGACAAATTCATCTGAAGCAGGTAAGGCCTCTGGCATTTTTCTGAGCTGCAACCAGAGAATTCAAAAATGTTGTGGCATGTTAAGCTTGGTGTAGCCATACGACTGAATAATGATTCCCTCAGACCCAAATCCAATCTCTAATTTTATTTGCAATATCTGTGCCACGAAAACTCTTAACTGCTCACCGCGTCAAACCCGACACACCAAATCATGTTGGTGAAATTCTATTAATAAAATAACTGTTTGTAAATGTCTTTGTATATTTAAACAGAAACTAAAAAGCCCCAAAACGTACAAATATGACATTTTTGACAGATTTCAAGTAATGGTTATTCATAACAAAACTGGAATTAACAAAGGTTTCCTTAGTCAAAAGAAAAGACAAGCCTGTTATTGCCTGTAATTCACCAGTGGGGAGATAATGTGTTAGATTTTTATATCACAGAAAAGTACTGATTGTTTTACTGATTTAGACGTCTTCCAAATGTCCTCTTCTGCCTGCTCCCTTTAGAGGTTGCCACAGTGGATCATCTGCCTCCATCTCACCCCTATCCCTCCTGTGTCACACCAACCCTCTACCGTGTCCTCCTTCATTACAGCCATGAATCTTCTGTGGTGTACCTGGCAGGCCCATCTTTGGCATCCTTTGTCCAGTATATTCTCTATCCCCTCCTCTCCATATGTCCAAACCATCTCAGCCTCTAAACTGCTCGGCCTGACCTGTCCCTCTGATGTACTCATTTCTAATCCAGTCCATTCTGGTCACATCCAATGAAAATCCTAACATCTTCAACTCGGCCTCCTCCTTCTGCTGTTAGACTCACTGCTAGGCTTCTGTCACAAATCATCCCAGAGACTTGTCTCCAACTGCTCCACCCAGCCTGCACTCTCTTCTTGACCTCTCCTGTGCACTGTCTATAGTTTCAGCTGGTTGAATACAGGTATTTAAATTCATCCAACTTTGCATGTTCACCTTTCCACCTGCCTACCTCTCATTCACACACATGTATTCTATTCCTACTCTCACTACAGATTTCATGAGTGTCATCTGTAAAAGTCCACAGAGACCGCTGTCTCATCTCATCTGTTAACCTGTCCATCACCACTGCAAACAAAAAGGGGTTCAGAGAGCTTTTCTCTAGATCTACAAAGGCACAGTGCAACTCTGTCTGATCGTCTCTATTCTTCTCCATCATCAAACATCAAGCAAACATCACAGCTGTAGTGTTCATTCTCAGCATGAAGCCCTAACGCATGTCACCGAGTGTCACTTAACCTAGCTTCAACAACTCTTCATGGCTAATCAGCCTCATCTCTTTCTAGTTACTACAGCTCTGCACATCAACCCTGTTCTTGAAAATTGGTCTCATTCTTCTACTCTGGCAGTTTCTCAATCTCCAAGATTGTGTTAAACACTCGAGTTTAAAAAAACGCCACATTCTCTCTTCAAGACATCTTCATACCATCACAGGTATGCCACCTGGATAAACACGGCTTTCCACACTTCATTCCTTTACACAGCTACCCTCGCTTCCACCTTACTAATTCTCTGCACTCCACTAACTTAACTCCATCCATTTCTATCTGTCTTTAATCATCCTAACCTGCTGCACATCCTTTCCAGCTCATTGTCTCCATCTAACCAATCAACACAGATTTTTCTTCTTCTTTAAGAGGTGTTCAAAAGCTCATGTATCAAATATAATATACACAGTTTTAATAAATACAGGAAGTAAATGATGAATGCAAGTCACTTCCTCAAAACAAAAGGTGCAATGACAATAACCATAGCAATATCATATAGGTGTTACAGAAGGATTTAAATGGCTTTCAAATTTTATGTTAACATTTTTGTTCTGTTCTGTTAATTAAATGGACCAGTGCACGATTGTACAGGAATATTACACACAAATGCAATTGTGCTGTAATGTTCCTATGCAATAATACTGGTATTAAAGGATTATAAAGCTCCATTTTCAGACTGTCATGTTTGCATTTGGAAGAGTACATTTTAGTCATCATCCAAGATTATTGATGCTATTTATCTTCCTTCTGGCTCTAAAGCCCAACGGAAACACAGAGTTGTGCTGTGGTCTTAATTTCCACCAACATTCAATACTTCGCGTTCCTCCTTTGAGTTGAGAAAAAGGTGCTTTATTTTAGAGGCACTCCATTCGAACTAATATTCAAACAGAAAATACCCAAAAAGGGTCGACATCATTTTATATGAAAGTACTCACTTGTATTCGCTGCACTTCCAAGAAGACCGCCCTTTGGAAGGACTTCTCCCAGATAGCCAGGTCAGTGGCCAGCTCTACCCTGAAGGTGTGGCTCTGGCCGTGGCCGACCAGAATACTGAAGCACAGAGACTCCGTGTCCTGCTCAGGAGAATGCTCCAGTCCCAAGTAGAGCCTTGCCTGGAGCCAGCAGTCCTCTGCCATCCACAGCTGTAATGCAAACTTGTAATTACTACATACCTGGGGAAACGTACGCTGTTATTTCACTTTCTACAGCTGATGTAAGTAGAAGGAATCACTAGTATTTCTCTATATTCGCAGATTAAACAGATGAACCTTCTCTGTGTACATGCCTTGGTTAGACAGCTCCCTGAATCACTATACGACATGCTCAAAGAGGAAAACTGACATCTTTAAAGAGAGCAAACAGAGGTGATCAAAATTTGAACAGCCCTGATGCACATCACAGCATCCTTCTCATAACTTACCTTGTGAACCTTGAAAAGAACCTCATAGAGGTTATATGTTGTTTCAGCTTGTCCCCAGTCAGCAGCACTGATCTGAGAAATAAACATCAAGGAGGATGAGATGAAGAGGAAGCGTATACAAACAAGCTTTTTTGCACTTGTTAGCAGCACTTCCTCATCCACATAATAAATGCAAATGAAAGTTAGGCAGGTCACTTTGTTGCTTTCTGTGAAGCCCTGGATGACTGCCAGTGTCAGGGAGCAAAATGGATTGATCCTGCTGCACTCGGCACGGGGAGAACATTTACATCATGAAAGTAACGCGTAGATTCCAAAGACTACAGCAAAATAAACCAGAGCCTTTAAAAACTAGGACTTCCAGGTTTTGTTTTCTCAAATAACAACTTTAAATAATCCCTCAGATTTAAATTGGGATTTGTAAAACATCCAACTGAGAATATTTTTTTATGGCCACAGAACGAAAAATTAACATTATTAGCTAAATTTCATGACTAGTCTTAGATTTGTACTTTCATTAGGTGTTAGCATCAAGCTAACTGACCAACTCCTAGAAATCAGAGACATATATGCAAGAGTTATGTTAGGAGTTACTGTACAATTGAGTAAATAATCTTATGTAACTTAAGTTTAGCTGCTTGTTTAGTTTGGTTTGGTTTAGTTTCACAACAACAAACACTCAGCATTATCCTAGAAGGAGCTTTTATCATTTAGATTTTAAACATATTTATACGTCTGACTCCAAAGTACAGACTGGATAGAATAGTCATCCTCAAATGACTACTCTGAGGACTATTCTTGATCTTAGGAATTAACACAACTTTTTGCAAAAAATTGAAACTATATATATAATTACACGGGAATAGTCAGTAGAATTGGTTATTTTTTGTTAGGTTTCGGACATCTGTGTGATGAGCATGTTGGTCAGAGTTGATCATTTAAAAAGCAAAAGTGAGTTGTGATTCTTACAGATATTTAATGTGGAGCTATTGGTTTTAATTGTGTTGTTCTCTTGTTTTTGAGCCTTTTTTTTTTTCTTTTAATGTAGTACGTCTTTTTTGTATGAAATTTTTTTTTTTTTATTAAAGTTCGTCACACTCCAGGAAGAGTAGGTACTGCTATTGCAGGAGCTAACGGGGATCTTAATAAACTAAACTACTGAATTCATAAAAATGTCTGCTGTATCTTCTGCAACATTCAGTTTGCTTGTGCATAAAGAAAATCCTTAATTTGTTGATTGATTTTGTTTAGGTATTTAAAATAATTTTAGCATCTAATAAGATCAAAGAAAGATCCATTATGTCCCAGGTAAACAAAATTAGTTGTGAAACTGTTCTAAAATCGTTCCTCAGTGTATTTCCACTTATTTAAGCACAATGAACAATGTCTACTGCCTCTTTGTCTTCTTTACGATAGGTTGTGTTGTACTGGTCCTATAAATAACAAAACAACAAAACATCCCATACAAAATCAGCTTTGCATGAAAAAGCTAAATGACTGAATAACACGTAGCGACAGCCGTAAACATCCCTAAAGACTCCTTACTGTTCGCGCCAGGCGTCATGTCATGGACCTGGTGGTGAAATGACAGTCGTGGTGCAAAATCACACACTCTTGGTTTGGGTATATTCATTCGGCCATGTTTTATCCCATATGCGGAAAATTTTGGATTTAAAATAATAAAAATAAGGCCTTTTTTTGGTTTCCAACAGCTAACATTGTTGAAGTACTAAAGTAAATTTTCTCTTACTCTGCTGAGCTGTTACTGTTGACTTCTTTTTGACACATGATAATTGATACTAATAAAAACATACTGCTGAATATTCAAGGCCTCTCGGCCTCAGGGATATTGGCTACTACCATTTTTCAACACAAGCTAGAGGACACGTCTGGCATTTCACAGCCCACCAGCTGCATAATGTCTTTAGCTCAAGGAACCATAACTTCAGTGACTTCACAATACATCCATTAGTATTGTTCATTAAAAGTACAGCTGCTCACTTCTTTTGCCCTCATCCTGTAAACATGATTTGTTGGTCCTATGACTGGCCTATATCTTAACCAAAAAAAACCTTTTCATTTTTGTAACTGATCTGCGTTGTGTGTAGTGTACTGCAGTTCTCGCCTGCTCCCAGCCTGTAGCTTTTTCTCTTTATTTAAAAACTACGAAAAGCTACAAAAAGGTTTGGGGGTTTTTTCTTCCTAAGCTCACCTTCAAAAACACCATTTCTGTGTCACAATTTTTTTTAGCCTCTGGCATACTCTTTGTAAAAGACTTTCCTGCAGCACTTTAAAGAACAGTTTAAAAATATACTGGCCAAAATATTATCAGCACTGACAGGTGAAGTTAATAATGCTAATGATCTCATTACATTATAACCTTCTCCTGGTAAACTTTAGGTTCTGCCATTTAATGGACATCAAATCTTCTAAAGACCAAGCAAAATCCCCCACGCTAAGAGTACGACCCAGCTGCAGAACCCACAAACCAATATCCTAGAACTTCACAGGACACCCCCATAGGTCCTTTGTCCATGCCCTACCAGGTTAAATCTGTTTTCTTGGGAATGGGGGGGTTGTGCCAGATTAAGTTTTAATGTTGTGGCTTATGTATGTGGTTAAGTATACCAGACCAGAGGCCTCTCACCCAGTGTTACTAAAAATCTCTGATGGTTATGATTCTTTTTCCTGTAGTGATGTCTCAAGCACAATGATGCACAAGTTGCACCAAAGGGCCCGTTTGATGGTATTAGCAAGTGTAGTTTAAACAAGGCCAGGCTCTTGTTCCTGCCATTTCAACAAACAGCTGGGGTGACCATCACTAATGTTAACACAAAGCATCAGTGTGCAGAGGGAATTGTAAAAATGCACTGTTCAGACAACCGTGTAACCTGACACAGAAACAGAGGCAGTCTGGAGACTCGAGCAGAGGATGGAAGTCAAAAGGAATGCAACAGTGTGCTTACGTGAGTTGCAGAAAGCATCTGCATAGATGATGAAATGCTTAATTTCCTGCACATATGCAAATGGACAGTGGGATGTCAAGTAGCAAGGGCAAGGTTAGCAGAGCTCTTTAAGATATTCAGTACATGGAAATGCTGTCAGTGTGCTAATGAGTACAGAGAGGCAGCAATACTGGCTGTTGAGCTATGTAATATCCACATATATACAATGCTTTTGTCATCTTACTGACCCCTCAGAGAACTTTAAGCATACATTCATATAGCACTTTTATTCTATACATTTCACTCCATCAACCTCACACATGTAGCCAATTTAGAGTCACCAAATAACCTTACATGCATGTCTTCAGCGTGTGGGAGGAAGAAGCTTCTCATCTCATGGTCAGGTAATGGTCTCTCAGACCTACTTGTTGATTTAGCTGTAAATATGAAAAGTGTCTCATACAGCTGAGTACCAGTTGGCGGAAAAAGGGGAATAAAAGGAAGCTAGCAGGACTCATACTGTCCATACAGCTGGCCACTGAAGAAGGCTGCATATCAGGAGAAAGGCAACTGATATGAGTGTTCCTGCAAAATTACAGAAGTGAAATGCTGTTAGGTAGTTATTAATCCAGATGAGTGGACTGGTACTTGTTTAGCACTTTTCCTAGTTTAACGGTACTTTTTACTACAAGCCTCATTCACCCAGTCACGACTCTGATAGATCCAGGACCTTGCTCAATGATACTTTGACATGCAGAATGGAGGAATCCTCATCTAACCTGACCCGCTCTAGCTTCTGACCCACCTTATCTAGAGTTAAATTAAATAATCTTTCAATGATCAATACACAGCCTCCCGAGAGAGAGAACACATCTCCACTGAAATGACCTCTCAGTACAAGAGTTCAGTGAGCTATATTACATCTAAACATAAGAAGCCCCTTACAATTCCAAAAATTGCATTTTGTTGACATAAGAGAATTTTTGTCCTTACTGAAACTTGCCTAACCAGGTCAATCATGTGGACATAAATTTGGATTACTACATGTCTTTGGCATTGACAGGAAAACAACAAGGTGCAGTATGACCGTGTCAAAGGCTCTACACAGAGGCTTGCCTTGTTAATGTTGCTTCGCTACCAGACAACTGAATATATTGTTATTGACTCCCCTGGAGGTAGTGCACATTTTACTGTTACTGGAGTTCATCATCTTCCTGCTGCAAGCAGTTCAGCCCTGTCAGAGACTGCCGAAGTATTGCCATTACATGTTAGTTCTGAGGAAGTTATTGAGTGTGACTTGAATTTAGATTTGCTCTCTAAACGTTCTGCTACATTACAACAACATTACAAGAGATTATTATATAATAATTGATTTGTAGCCTTACATGTCCAAATAAATGCATTCCTTTTAGATCAACCATGATAGATCATATTTGAACAAATAACCCACTTAAATAACCCACTGGTGCAATTTCTTCTGGATACATCAGCTACCAGTGCCCAACTACATGTGACAGAAAAATGTTTGACCTTCAGACTAACAACCTGCTACATTTTATAAATAAACTGAATTTTAAATATCTTAATGAAAAGATTTATTTTTTTAAGGAACAGCAGCACTCTGACCTCAATTAAATTGAAAACGTTTCCAATCATGACCTACCTTTCATCACGCCACAAATTTTAATATGTACTTAATCATGCCGCCTTAAAATTTTCAGAATATATCTGTGTATAATCCTTGGTTCTCCTCCACAATGCTCTCATTGCAGAACAGACTGATTTTGAATATCTAACAATCTTCTATCTGCAAAGTTTCAGCTACTAAGAAAAAATTGTCTTGTACTTATTAGAAAAGCTAAATCTGATTTCCATTCTTTCAATTATCATTTAATTTTATTCGAAGAGATTTTAAAACCATAAAATCTTTAATTCTATATGTTCTAATGTTTTCTTCTTCTTTTTTTTAGATTGATAAGCGGATATAAGATATGTCGTAAAGTTGTTAGTTTAAACTGGACCTCTCCCTGTTTTGCCTCTGTGCTGGGCTAACTGCTCTTCTTATAGCTCATTTTTAAGTTAATTGCAGTAGGTAAGCATATATAAAGACTAATAACCATCTTAAAGGTTCTTTGTTTTATTCTGTGGATTTCTCAAAAGCATTTAATTCAGTATCGTGACACTCTACTAGAAAAGCTTTGCTCAGTCAGTGCAGATTAACAGGCCATGTTTAATTTGTACTCCAAAGTCCAAAGACTTCAGCCCAGTGTCCTTGTAGTTTGCACAGGTGTTCAGCAGGGAATCCAGTCTTGGACCTTTTTTATTCACCATAAAATTTATCTCTGGCACCAAAACCTAAAGTTAACACAGATGGTGCTACTTTTATAGGCGACTACCTCTTTCCTTAACATCATCTTTGCAAATCTACAGCCTGCTTTTGATACATTTCACACATCTCTAATTAAACTCTAAACTAAAATAAAACCTGGTGCATTCTATTAATAAAGTCACCAGAGAATCTTCAGCCCACTATTCATATCCAAATTTCTTCATGGCTGTAACATTTAAACTGTTAATATATATTATTAGGAGCCCAGCTGAATGCTATACTCATTTTTAAATATTAATGTGGAACACCCACCAAGGAAAAACAGTCTAAAACTGGTTTTTGAGAACACACTTTTTTTTTACGAGATGTAAGATATTTGAGGAATCTACAGTTTTATCTGCTCTTGAATATAATTATTTTTCTATATTTGCTTTGCTATTCAGCTTGAAGCTGCTCCACCTGCTTTTATCGTAACTGTTTTCTCACTCACCACTGCATTTTACATGTGGAATGGTCCTCACCAATCATAAAAGAGCAGCACTCAACATGCATGAGATGTTTTTTTGGGGTTTTTTTTTTTTTTTTTTTTTTTTTTGCACTTTTGGGTAACACGCATGCTGCTTTCTCAGGAAGTGTAAGATGGCTTCACAAGATTAGATACGAGATCTGCTTTTGCAGATCTTGGTGATGGGGGTCGCCCTCTTGTAAGACCCTTCATATTATTTTGGTCTGCTGGGTTTGAAATGTTATCCAGTATTTGTAATAAGTAGATGTGAGCAGACCTAAGGCTTGCAATATCTGGAGTTCCTTTCGGGACGTTTGCACTTACAGGTGCCTGCCTGGTACACTTCAAGCCTGGAAAAACTTTAATTTGCTGCAACTTGTTCAAGCAAGAGAATTTTCTTTCTGACTTAAAACAAGCTTTTTACAAAATGTTTTCCCCCCTCTTACAGTATTTTTTCTCTTTCACAATAATGAGCAATTTGAAATGAAAATATTTATGAAGAAATGCTGCACTGTATTTGTTCACCTACAGCCACTGTCGTCAATAGTCATTATTATTTCGTGCCTCCTCATAAAATGGTCAGGAAGCGCTTGGATTCTGTTCTCAAACTGCAGCTAAGAGGAGATCAAAAGTCTCTGACAATCTGAATTTAAACAGAGCAAATACATGCACACCAAAGTTTGCTACACTAACGAACCATCAAAGAGAACATTAGCTTCTCCTGTGTACAGTTGTGTAAAGGGTAACAAAGACACAGTCCAGCAGGAAGGCCAAGAAAACTTAACTCACAATTAATGTGCACACACTACCTCGGGAGAAAAACCACTGAATAACTGTGATTAACCAGAAACACTTTCTAAATTATATAAGGAGGACAAAAGACACTTTAGTGTCCAGTGGTTTTTATACCAACGAGTGAACAGAACTTCTGGTACAGAGAAGGACAGAATAAAAGCTCGTATGCTCCATTCTGTACCTCCGATATAAACTACTAGAGGAATTGCACTATAAACAATATAATGGCCAACTGTCATTTCTGTTATTCTGATATTACATGTTTATTGTAAAAAAAAGATTCTGTTAGTATCAACATTACACGATGACACAAAGGTCTCACAACAATATTAAACACAAAATGAGGGCAAATTGTTTTCTTATGTTTCAAAACTTCAGGCTTTTCATCTACTGAGAACATGAGGACCGAGAGTTCTTATTTTTTAATCTGTTGCCTTTGCTAATTACATGTATCCAGTACCACACCAAACATATGCACCATACCACAACCCCTCCTTTCTAAAAGCCAGCTGTAGAAATTTATTTTGTTTATGATTCACTTTAGAAGAAATGATTTATAAACCTGCCCAACTCTAGTCAGGTTTCTGACCCACCACAGAAATGTACCAATTTCCTCTCCATATTGAATAGGAAAATTGAAAAAACAAATTACCGGCGGACTTTTGAAGATATAAAAATATGGTCCTCGCAGTGCCAGGAACTTAAATGTTGAAGATCGACCGGGAGCGCTACCCTCGGGGCATTCACATGCCCAGCCCATGTGAACAATCTGCAGAGATTCAGAAGGATACATTTTCATTATTTGATTTGAAATAAATAAATGGATAATACACAAAAAGACACACACAATGAAAAATATGTTCTTACTAAGAAAATGGAAAAGAATGGTCTACAGTGCACTGACAAAGTAAGTGAATGGGGGGGGACCCCATGACGCAGCTCAGAAAACATCCATTTAAAACGATACTTTTCAATACAGTTCTGCAGTCTCAGCTGCACTGCAACAATTTCCTTTTATCTACTCCAGATTGACTTGGAAGTCTCATCTAAGCAGAGGAAAGCAGAGAAAATCCCAAGCACTGCTTATCAGCTACACTCCCGTATCCTGTGGTTAACAACGTCCAGTGATTTCTAAGTTCAGGCCTTGACTGTTTGCTGGCAATACGCTCTATCTAAAGCATCCTGCAGTAAAGTTTTGAGTGAGCAAGTTCTACTTTTTTTTTCCCCTGACAAATTGAATTGAATTTTCATATTGCCCTGATGATTTTGCACAGAGCTGCAGTCGTATGCAGACGATGCCATTTTATACACATTTATAACATTTCTCACAAAAAACTTAAATAGACATGTGTATAAAGTTACTGCCAACATGGGATACATTGGTATACTCCTAGGAATGTGCTCACCAGTAGTAACTAAATTGAAAACTTGACAACAATAAAAAAAATTTAAAAAAAAGGCCACGACAATAACTAGAAACGCTGTTATGGCCGTTCAAAAGGAGCTTTGCACGAGTGTTAAGTGAGATGAATGTAACGGCTAGAAGTGCAGTTTCTAAAACATTGCAGTCTGCAGTTGAGACCTCTGCTTTAGAGACTAAAATACATATTCACACCCAGAATATGGTCAGTGGAAAATATTTGAGTTAACTTCAACAGGCTGTTTCACACATGTCAGGTTTCTGCTCATAGAGCAGGGATACACATTGATAGTGTCGTCCAAGCAGTTGGACGGCATTTTCAGTTTGATTTTCGCCTCTTTCGTGGTCTGAAGGTGTGCTGTCAGAAGGAATTTAATTGGCCTGTTGGTCTTCTGGCAATTAAGCACCTGTTCTCAAAAAGATACAAAAATGATGTGTTTGTGTCAAGTTAGGCAATTAATGACATACTTGGTCATCTGAAGAGCAGTACTTGTTGATGATCTTTATCTATTAAAAGAAACAGAAATTAAACAGATATACGGTTAGAAAACAGATTTACATTTCAGATTACATAAAAACATTCTGAACCCTTAATAGCTTTGAATCAAAGAGTTAAAAAGCTTGTGCATTTTTACAAACTCTAACCAGTTTTAAATGTCTATTTACATTCTGCGTGTCAAGAGAAGCTAAGGTCTAACCACTTAAATGCTACAGAACTTATTATAAATAAACAAATCAGCTTGTTTGTTAAAACCACAGGTTAAGTGACTCATTTAGTCTTTTAATATAAATGTTATTGTGACACATATGGCCATCGTAAACACTGTTAAAGTCCATGTAGCCCCATGGAACTACATGAAGGCAGTAGCATTCTCTAGCGGGGCAGTGAACACCACCACACCACACAAACTGCTCAGGAAAGAAAAAAAAACCAAACGTAAATTAAGTAGCAAATATAAATGTATTATAACGTATTAATGAGGTAATAAAAACATCTAAAGTTGGCAGCACTGCCTGGGAAACATGCTTTCCTGCAAATGAATCTAATAAATTCATGGACACAATAAATGAAATCAGTGAAATAAAGGAAAATGAAAAAACGCCTCTCTGGAGTGACATGTTGGCTCCCCACCAATCCACAAAATAACAGACCCATTTTAAAGTCATTGGATGACAGTGCATGTCAATTAAAGCCCACCTTCAGAAAATATAGATCCAGAAAAAGAGAAGCATTTTCCAAATGTGCCACAGAGGTTATCACTCAGCAGGAAAAATGCTGCAAACCAGAGCAAAGCATTTTCACACTGAAAGCACACCTGGTGTGTCAGCATATCACAATCAGCATGGGGCTCGCGACTTGCTTGTTCCACCTGAGCTACATTCGAAAAGTTCACCGTCACCTGAAATCTTCATATTATTAGATACCAGCAAGCTGCTGCACAAATATTTATATTTTTTCTCTATTTCCTCTAAAAGAACATCAAAGAGCATCATATAGTCTTCCACCATGTCTGCGACGGACCCCAAGAGTGTTAAAGAGTCTATTTAAAGGTTGTAGGTCATTAAAACAAAAGTTCCGCTCTCTCCCAAGGTGGCAACACAATTACATCCTGATTGGCCATTTAGCAATCACGCTGCACGTCCGTAATTAGGTGAATGCAGGCATGAATTAATCACACGTTTTAAAAAAGGCAGCTGTGCCATCGATGAGCACGGGCTTACAGTAAGTCTTCATCCTCACCAAAAACTATTCGCATCATCAGCGTGATAATCAAAGTGAAATAGGAGGAAATGAGAGCGAGCAGAGCACGCGCCGAATGACTACTTAGCAGCCATTAATTAGGTATCGAAGAGCATCTTTTTTTTTTTTTTGTCAGTAGAGGGGGAGAGGTGCCACTGTGAGTCAATGAGTGCTTGTCAGGAAGGGTCTATTAAAACTACTTTAATGTGTGATGGGGGGAACAACTGTGGGCAAAACAGTTTCAAGGGTTCTTTTCTTACTGAGCAGATCAAAAGTGGAAAATAATTCACAACCTGAATTTTGTCAAGTTTTGTGATTCCTTCCTTCCTCCCGTTGTGAAACTATTAATGTGCATGTGTAAATCATTCATTTTAAACTTTATGGAAACACGAGAGCATTCAAATCACTCTTTTCGCCTTCATTTTTAGTACACACTCAGAGGAAGATCCAACCAAGCCTCTAATGTTTAGAAATGGACTTACATTCTCCTGCGTCAAGTCATTGATATTTGTGGATATTGCTTGGAGCCAGTCTGTGCTTTCTGCTGCAGTGCAAAATTGAAGAATATTGGTGCTGGCTCCATCCAAGGCAAAAACTTCAAAACAGTTGAACCTGGTAGAGCAAAGACAGAGACGAGAGGATCAATGCTGATACTGAACAAGTGAAGCTTGAGTCGTCAAACTGTGAATTTATAGTCTGTAAGCCTTAATAGATGCATTATTACATGTAGTAGAGCGTTATCATCTGATGGCTCCTATGTAAAAACGCCCAACTTTAATAAAATGTTGATGACTGTAATGTTCAGGTTAAAGCTTCAAAACCAATGGGTGACGCAAGCAGCAGCTATCTTTTTATGGACATGTTTAAAGAAACTGCTACTAGCTACTACAATATGAAAAGGTGAGAGGTCCGCTAAGAGAAAGCTGCCCAGAGGACAAACAACCTTCTGGAGATGGGCACAAAGTACCAATCTGGCTCTGTCCATAGGTAAAATTCAAACACCAGGACCATCACCCATTTTCATTGTAACCTTTGCTAAAACGGACTTCTTTTTTAAAATACTTTTTTCCTCATTTTGTTAGAAATTTTATTCCCAGCTATTTCTTAGCTAGGAGCCATAACTTTGTGCCATTTTCCCATTGCTTCTGCCAAATCAGTCAAGCTAGCTGTAGATTCATATTTATGTGCTTTATTCACAGCAGCCCTTACGAGATAAGAGTGTTGACAGTAATAATAATCATAATACTAATCATAATTATTATTATTATTAGGGCTCAGGTTTTCTGTCAAATGACCGCTGTGGAATTGGTCTACTGGACAGATTACCAGCTACCCAACCCAAATATACTCCAGAGGATGAAGAGAGCACCCGGCATGACCGCCAACCAGCTAATAGATGTGAAAATGTAACATACTGCAGTTAAGGTTGAGAAAGCCACCAATCACAAACCATTTACAGAGTGCAAAGTGAGAATATTAACAGTAAAAATTTGCTTCACGTGTCCCTTCATTTCCTTTCCTTTATTTAGGCTTGTATTTAAAACCTCTTTTGTTACTTTGGAGTGGTTTGCAGTCAAGGGCATTCTTTTACAAATACAATTAAGTTTCTCTGTTGATGGGGTTCTGATGAGGTCATCTGAGGCGAATCACGCTCATCGGCAGAATGCAAAGCTTTGACACTTAATTTCAGTGCATTTGTACGATGCTGATACTTTTAGCTTCGGAGATGGTTGCCATGGAAAAACGGTTATATGAGATGGTTAAGCAATTTTAGGCACTGCAGTGGAGAATCTACAACATTAGAAAGAAGGGGAAAAAACCTGAATTTTTGAGAAGTGTTGAGCAGCAGCAGTATGATGCTGTTAAGGTACGTGAGATGAAGGCTGATAAACACAGAAACAATAAAATGCTTCCAACGCACAGTGTGAAGAGGGAAATCTTCTTAGGCAGCTCCTAAACCAAACACTCCATCCTCACGCACAGACAGAGCAGCTACTCGAGGTTAGATTATACAAAGTCAGCATTCCTAACAAATCCTCTGAGCATGACTGTTATACTGTATCTGCAACAGGCTTGTTAAAATCGTATGTTCCGCTGCCTGTGTACTGACCCAGTGACTCTCCAGGGGTGATTTTGGCTGGACTGGAATGTCGTTTTTTTGATTTAACAAGGGTGCAAATTCTTTCTGTCCCAGTGCCTGACCCAAATTTGCCTTGTGTTGTGGTTTGTGTAACTGTGAAGCATCACTAATGGATATTCAGAAAGTCTTTGTTTTTCGAGCAAGCATTGCCAAATGCATCTAGTTGCATTTCAGTGAGTACTGCATGGATAAATGAGCAGCTGATGAGCTCACCTTAAAAATAAATAAATAAAACTGTATATCAATTAGATCTCTTTCAAATGACGTAAAACTTTAGAGGCCATGCAGCACAAGGGCAGATACGAGAGAGAAAAGGCAGTGAATGAGGAGTTGAAAATGCAGAGCTTAATCAAAGGAACGGACAGCTGGCGGCTCAATGTAGGGAGAACAGCGCTGTCAGGAGGAGCTGCTAAAGCCCTTCCACCTTCACTGAGCAGAACAAAAAAATCCTTGCTGAGAGATGGGATCTAGGGAGAGTGCGTTTTTTTTCATACATCTGCGCCATTCCCAGCGGCACAAATTATTGTGTCTTGCCTGCTGACTAGGCAGTAATAAATCCACTGAGACAGAGCATGGACATATCACCCAGTCAACACGCAGGATAACACACGAAGAATATACAGGAAGAAGCTGTTTTTGGGGGAATCAAGCCATTAGTTTCAATATAGTACAAGTGGCAGAGAGAGGGGAAATGTGCCATGGCTACTGATTAGTGAAGCAGGGAAATGAGCAGGCTTTGGGGCATTTCATTCTCGGCATAATGAATGAGAGAAACTTGTTTGCTTTTGATTTCTTACCAAGAAATGCATAGATGTGAGTGCAACTTTGAATCCATGACACTGATCAAACACCCAGCTTGAATCATTAAAGTGCAATATAATATTCCTTTAATTAAAGTTGTGATTTTCACGAAATTAAACCCCCCATTTTTGTCCCAGTTTAATTCCCACAACTACCAGTCAATATGTTTAGTGGTCATTTGGCTACATAGTCATTTTCTTGGTAGTAGCGTGCAGGCATGAAATCCATGGCAATTTTATCTAATTAACAGTAGCCTTACTTTTCGCTGGTGTGCCCCTATATTAAGAGTGTAAATTGCACAAACGGAGAGCATATAACAGAGTTGAAAGTATACTGGGAACACATTCATCTCTTTGGAATTGAGCTTGAGCTACGGTGCTTAAAAATATATGAAAATTTTAACTTGGTGCATGTATTATCTGCTGGATTTACTTTCACTGAACAACTGGAGCCCATCCATTTGTTTAATAGTAGTTTTGCAATATGTTTAGTCTACTAATGTTGGAGATGTGATAAAGACAAGGTTATGTACTCGGTGTCAGACGTGTGCATTACAATGTTGCATGGGTAAGACGGTGGTCTAGTGCAGCAGTCCCCAACCCCCGGGCCTCGGTCCGGTACTGGTCCGTGAGTCGTTTGGTACCGGGCCACTAGAGTTGAGGCTCAGGTGTGAAATGTATGGTTTTCAGGGTTTTTATCGGTTTTCAGCGTTATTTTGTTATCGTTTTTATCGTTAACTTGGTCTTTTCACGTGTGTTATGAATAAGTCTTCTTTTTTTCGGTACCAGTACTAGTTTTATTTTGTTGCATTTATCCACGACACCTTAAAGGCCGGTCTGTGAAAATCTTGTCGGGCATAAACTGGTCCATGGCGCAAAAAAGGTTGGGGACCGCTGGTCTAGTGCATCCTTTTTATTATGAACTTCTGAACCTTGGAGATATTTTGGGTATTCAGTAGTGATATCTTTTATTTCCAATGTGCAAAAAGACGCCGTCCCAGCGTGGTTGCTGGAAATCCCTCTCACAGAAATGATCATTAAGCTTCAGTTCACCTGAGTGACCTTTCATTTCCCTTTGGAAACTACTAAGAAGAAGCTTAGCCAAAAAATTTAATGCCAAACAGTGAGCAGTTGCGCCTCCACCACGAGGTCTTGCTTTCCCCGTACAGACACACGATTGCCTGTTTCTGCATTGATTAGCAAGTAGCGGTGAGCACCAGCACCCATGAGTGCACTGTTTGCACAAGCTCGTGCTGTTCTTATGGTTGTCTGCTGCACAACACCAGGAAGCTGTGCCAGATAATCTTGCATTAACTTTCTATCTGACTGACTCTTTTATATGTAAGTGTAAGGGAAACAACTGTAGCTGTAATTACCTGTACTTTTGCCTTGTCAAATGGTGCTGTGTCATCAGGATCTTAAACAATTCTCTACACACAAACTACACATCTTTGCATCAGTGTCACTCAATTGCACCTGTATTTAGCTTCTGAGCCCCTAAAGTAGGTTTGCACACTGCTTGGCATCTTTTCTTTGGAAAATAAACACTTCTTATGTCATGTAAGGAATTAAAAGGGACAATTCATGCAAATTTTCTAAATGATATCATAAAACACTGTAATATTTGTTACTGCCTTTATTTCTGTGATGTTTCTGAGTACCTTTTCAAAAACTGTTTGCAAACCTATTAAGTGCACTTACATCACACTGGCCAAGGATGAAACTTTGATGCATAACACTTTGAGTACATAATTGCTTGCTTTTAGAATTTTTTAAAAAGCCCAGCTGTTAACACAAGTGTGGCTGACAAAGCCCTGCTAATCTGCAAGGTCTCCTCCCTTTCAAATGTATCCATTTTGATAGCTTAAACAAAAGGCTGATAATACGCCATTACGTCACGATGAGGGACATCTCTGACACCTCGGTATTACTGAAAAAATGTTTTCATAAAGAAAGAAACAAGGCTTGCTCTTCTTTGCTTTTAGTTTTCCGTGTAGCTTTGTTTTAAAACATTTTGTTAAGAGTAGAATTAAATTTAGCATTTGAGAGTAAAACTTTGAAAAAGTATCTGGCATACCAACTGGAAGCATACAGCATGTACTAGCAAGGACCACTAGAGCATTGTTTAAACTTTCAGATACAAATCGACCGCAGTGTGCAGAGTTCACATCAACTTTAAATGAGACCATGAGTCAACACCTTTCCATCAACACTAATGGAAAATCCTCCAAGTGGGAATGAGATATTAGAAAAGCTTTATAGAAATCATCTCAGGACCTACTCTTGCATTACAGGATATATGCATGTAAGAAAGTAAAAATATAATAAGGATAATATTAAATATGCTATCCCCATCCAGGTCTGTGTGAGCCAAACTGAAAAATGAGTGCTGCACCTTATTATTCATTTAATCAAATGTTAATTTTCTGATAATTAATTCAGCTTTTAATTTGGGGATTTGGATATTTGTTTTTTTTAAGGCTTGGACACCTGACATTTCTCTCGCTTACCACGCTTCACTGTTGTGAATTTGGCAGCTTTTTCGCTGTTTTTATTGACTCCTCATACACCTAGCAAAAAAAAAGCCTAACAAAAAAACCCAAAACAAAAAGAAAAACCGAATGGACAGAACTGCTTTGATTGGAAGTCTTGCTCTTCTGCAAGAACTCATG